GGTTTATTTAAGACCTTTGGAAATAAGATTATGACTAGAATAAACGCTCAAAGGTACACTTATTCAATATTAAGAGCTTTCCTCACACTTCTTTGACCCCTTTATACTATATATTGGTAAGAATTCTCTCTGTTTTTAGTCCTAGTCATTTTGACCACTGATGCCAATGCAAAAAAACGGTATGCTGTATTACAGGTGTATCACAATAAAAGCTTACTCTGAACTAAAAAAGGCCCAATATATCCCTTTCCAAGTTTTTACCGTGAAAACTCCAATAGGATCATTGAGTGCTGAAACCACCAATCATTACATAGTCCCACCTCTTTTAGTCTCCACTAACTCCTAAAGCAAATATCTGGCTAACGTTGTCTTTCTGCTGGGCTGGTATAGTCGGTTAGTAGCTGCCTGCTGTGGCCGGGAACAAGTTTAATAAAAACAGTAATGTTGGCTTGGCTTTAAAGTCAAACAGGCCCACATGAAGAGGCAAGGCCTCAAAATAAAAAAGCTTTATTTTGTCACAAAATTAAACCGAATAATGTATAAGTTAACTATTCACTCTGTTCTGTTAAATTAATAATAAAGGGAATCTAGTTGTAGTACTTTATCCGACATAAACTAACTATTTATATTAACAATTTGCTTTTAATTTATCATAATAATGCATATGTGTTTATTTGCACTGATGTTTGGAGCTGTTGGCTGTTTGAGAGCTGCTGGTCAGCGTGCATTTATCACATGTTGACAATGTTTTTATTATTACTCTCACTGCCAGAGTGGTTGACACAGGTTCACACATTACGTTTCACCATAGTGAGTTAAATAATATTGAATCAAATTGAAACTACCCTACTAGCTAGTTAGTTAGATAACATAACTGGCGCGCTAGTTATCTAGCATTAGCTTGACAACTTATTTAATTGATCAGCTAATGCTAACTAGTCTTGATAGATAGATAGCCAACCCTAGCTAGGTTGTTCGACAGCTCACTCAAGCTAGCCAGCTTGTTATGCCGTAAATGTTATTACAAAAACACTGTCAACTTGCTTTAGTACGGATTCAATCTAGTTACACTAGGAGTGCTTATATGCTTCAGTGCTTTTAATACCTGAAGGAGCTATCTGCACCAAGAGACACTTCAGAATTCTTAAACCCATGTTTATTCAACAATTTTGTGCATGCTAGAATTTGTTCTCGTCTATATTGCCATTGTGTGCAAAAGCCCAGATTAAAGTTTTAGAGGGCCATTGACCTGGACGGATCTAAACCAGAACTAAAAATATAAGTATGTGAGGATTCACACTGACAAAGAGTAACTTTCTGTTAATTGGCACCAAGCATGAAGATGCAGGTGTGTAATGGTTTGGAGTCAGCCCATCTACTTGAGTTAGAGTGATATTTTTAAAACCATAGATTAATAGTCATCTAGTTATTGTTCTTGCTTTGGACGGCCTTTAACTGGGTTCCTTTTTTTTTCAATACCTAATTTTTCCAGGAATGCTTCTGACTCCTCTGGGAAGAGTTGTGTAATTTGGTTTTGCGGGAAATGAAGGAGATAGTGATCATTAACTGTTGCCGTGTCATCATGCTAATCGCCTCTCCCTCCTCGTGTGTGAGTATGTGATATGTACAGACTGATCTGTTTATTTTCCAAGTTCCAAAGAGACAAATGTCTGAATTATCCTTCAAGGCAACGTTTTCAAACAAAGAAAATGTTCGTAAATGTGGGTAGTCTAATGTATGTGGAGAGCAGTAAATGAGAGGTGTGAAGCTAGAGCCGCAATTATTAAATATTCCCAAAAATGTATGATCCGTCTTTTTTAGCTTTATTTACCCAAGAAATAATATTCTATGTTATTTTATTTATTAATTATTATATGTTTTTTATTTATATTTTTGTTTAATTGATTATCTTGCCTATTAGCTAATTCCACTGCATGTGTGCAAAAAAGGTATCACTTTTAACCTGAATAAAATGTCTTGTTTTCTGATTGTCTTGTCCTCAGTGCCAGATTGTTTTACATCTTGATACAAGAGTATACATGAGTGTGACATTTTCTTTTCATTTAATTCAACAGTATCTAAATTGTTATGACAACTGTGGCTGCCTGTCCAACTATACCCTCCTGATTTGGAGGTGGATAGCAAATGACCTATGGTGTTGATAGATTTGAACCTGATACATTTGGCCATCTAAGTTATATAGGAATGTTTTATTTTTGTGTTCAGACCATCAAACAGTAACATTAACAGTAATAGCTCCTAAAATAAACTTAATAAATAGCCAAGTCTGAATATTGGTACACTGGCATAAACACTGAGAAGAATTAAATCTGACGCATGAAAACTTGGACTCCGGTCAAACATCAAGCCTTCTGTGTGAGGTCACTCTGCATGGTTTATTGGTCTTTTGGATCTCAGTTTCAATTAGTGTTATTGTTATAAAGTTCCATTTGTTTAGCATATTTTACTCAAGAGTTTACTTAAAACTGTGGAACTGCTGTCAGATTCTGATCGGGAATATCTTGTATTAGCCATACTGAGCCCTTCTATGGTCTGTTATGTTATCCTGTGCTCTGCAGGCTGACATCACTAAGTGGGCTAGTGGCTTTTTGTGCTTATTTGCTCATTTTAAATGTGTCCAAAAGTGTTCTAAAAACTCTGAAAGCTCAACAAATAATAAGACCAGTGGACATATTATTGAGACAACTTTATATGTAAACACCGGGCACTAATGACTATCTATAATAGCTTAAAATCCAATAAAAAATAATTAAATAATATCAATAATCAGAATCTGGCTGCAGGGATTTGCTCGGATTCGGAGACTGAGGTCCACAACTGAAAGATAAGATCAGACATTTAGAATTCCATTTCACCCAAAAGGTGTTAGATGGGGTTGTTGAGGTCAGGCATGGATGAATAAAGAGAACTGGAAACAGCGTTGGAGGCGGGGCCTCGTTCATTCCTATGAGAGTTACTCAGTGGCGCATGAAGACAAAATGGCCTGATGCTCTCGAGAGCAAAACATCTCAAATTACCCATCATGCCTGCCTGCGAGAGCAAAAGTACCCTTAGTTGGCACATAGAGCATGTGCATTTGAGTGTGTGGGAGAGAAACTCCCTGTGGAGGGAACTTTGGAATTTTAGTCTTTGCAGACCATTTACATGCACAAAAACCTGACATTATACATACTTTTTACTATTCTGCCGAATAAGTCCTTTAAAACTCAATTAAATGAAAACATATCTTGAATTATGTATGATACTACAATTAGGGTGGTGACTCAAATGTCTAGAAAAAGGCTAGGACTTCAAAATAACAAATGCATAAATATAAAATAGAATAAAAATAGTCACTCTATTTTTATATCAGCACACGTGTGTTCTTATGCATTACTAAACCCAAACACTGAGTCAGGTTGAAGTGAAAGCAGAATGCTGCAGAACAGTAAATACCATTTAGGTGAGGCAGAACACACAGAGGCGCTGCGGAGGGAAACAGATGGGAGCTGATGACGCAGTGGTGGTCTCTGGGCCTGCATGTATAAAGTGAGCGGTCTTCAAGTGCTCACCCCAGCGGAGGCTATACATCACCATGACGATTATCTGCTGGGAATAAACTGAGGCTCATCTGGATGGAAGGGCAAAGCCACGGAGATAAGGTGAGCGCAACAAAAGCTTCCACAAAGTAGATAGAAAATAAATTATATTCCTCGGCTGTTTCTGGCCTTTTGTTTTTCAGTGCCTGGATAGGGACAAGATGAGCCAGGGATTCTGTCAAGAAAAATGTTTTTAAAGAATTGCAGTGTGATGCAAAAATAAGCTTTTATTTTGTCCTTAATCTGCTCCAAGATGATGAACATTGAAGTTATATAGGCATATTTGGAGTTTTTAGAAAATGAAAACAGTACAGTAAGTGTTAAGAGCGTTTCCATTTAGATTTGACTTTAAGTTTAATATGTTATGTATAGAAAAGACAGTTTCATACACTTTTTGCTTGTATGTATTGATAACTTAAGAGAGCACAACTTTAGACTGGTATTGAGTGCTGAATGCTGGACTAGTTGTGGAGTCCGGTAAAACATTTCTTGACACTATTCACCAAAGTAAACCAGATTTTGGGGCATTGGAATAAAACCTGTTTGTGTTTTCTTTGGATAAAAGGGTCCGCTTAATGAAATGTAATGTACAATAGACGCAGAGTGATTTCTGGTAAAACTACAAAAGTTTGACACAGCTAGGTTGCTTTTCCAGCAGTCAGAGGGGGAGTACTGTACACTGCTGTGCTGATCCATTCTGCAATGGTATTTGTTTCTCGTAAGTGATGAAACATTGCTTATTTCCACACTAACTGTGAGGGAGGCAGAGGTATTCATCACAGTATTTAATCCTGAGAGGAATGTAAGAGCGGGGCAAGGCTGCAATAACCAGTCTTTGAGATTCATGACTTGTTTTTCCCCAATTATTAGATTATCTTTCAGTGGAAGAAACATCAATTGTTGCTACATTCCTAAAATGTTCATGAATACAAATAAGAATATAACAGATATGTACAGATAAAGACATCCATTTGGTTGATTATTACATAATGCATGTATAATATTTAGTTTTTTGTTTGCAACTCTTTTGCATTTTTACAATGTAAACACGATTTCCACCAGGTCTTTTGGTTAATGTAAGTCAAGACTCAATTTGAAAAGTCATACTTTATGTCAAAAGATGCATTCGTTTACAAGACTAAAGGTTCATTAAGGAGCTGCAGTTTGAGTGAATAATAACTTTAATAGTGAAAACTTTTGAATTTAATATTTTATTTTATGGCATTTATTTGTATGGACTTATTGATCTTTAAAACCTTGTCCTTACTTGTGCATTTGAGTTCAAGTATTTAGGTAATAACATTTGGAAGCCCAGTCTCGACAATGCACTTCACCACCCGTTGAAAATGTTTCCACTCTTTACTTACTCAATATGACTACTTCTATCATTCCCAGTTTCCAATGGGTGTGAATGCCTCAGACTGGTTCTTCCCCACCCTGGCTCCAGAGCTGGACCCCTGCAGTAACTACACTGAAGCCTGGCTGTGGCTGTCCTCCCTGCAGCCGGCCTACCTGGTTATTATCAGCATGGTGGGCTTGGTAGGGAACGGCCTGGTTCTCTGTGTGTTCTGCCTGCAGAGGAAGCCCTGCACCGTGGCAGATGTCTACCTGGGGAACCTGGCAGCTGCCGATCTCATCATGATGACCTGCCTTCCCTTCTGGGCTGTCACCATTGCCCGGGGCTACCAGTGGGACTTTGGAGAGGTCCTCTGTAAGCTGGTCAATGTGGCCATCTCTATGAACTACATCTGCAGTGTTCTGTTCCTCATGCTGGTCAGCGTGGACCGATATCTTGCCTTGGTGAAGCCCATGAGCACCAGTCGTCTAAGGAGAGCCTCCTGGGCCAAGCGTATCTGCCTTGGGGTCTGGACGATGGGCTTCCTCTTCACTCTCCCCACACTGTTCTTCCGCACAATGATGTACGTAGAAGATCCCGGGGTGGATGCCTGCATTTTAGCCTACCCCCACCCAGCATGGAGGTTGCACCACAACATCACCAGGAACGTGTTGGGCTTCCTAATCCCTGTCCTGGTGGTGGGGTACTGCACTCGTCACATTGTTTCTGTGCTGAACGACCGGGAAGTCCTCTGGCTCCCTGGGGTTAGGGCGGAGAGGAAGGCCACCTCATTGGTTCTGGCCGTGCTCGCTGTCTTCCTCTTCTGCTGGACACCTCACCAGGTGATGCGCTTCCTGGACACTCTGGATTACTTCCATGTCACACCCGGATGCCTCTGGGGTCATGTCCTGGACATCGGCATACAGTTGTCCACATATTTGGCGTACAGCAACAGTGCTGTGAACCCTTTCCTGTTTGTCATTGTAGGGAAGCATTTCAGGAAACGTGCAAAAGAGGTGTTTGGAAAGACTTTAAACCCCTGGTCAAAAGACATGTCCTACCTGACTGTGAGCTTCACCTCAATAAATAGACTCAATGAAAAGCACAGAATAAGTATTGACCATTTGAAAATATCTGGGTTAAAAATCAATGATAACATGACCGGCGGCTGAAGGGATGTCTGCAGTTATGAACTTTATGGCTGATCTTGTTGATTCTTTGGCCATTTGGGGACAGCACAACAAGCTGACTTTTGGAAAAAGCTGCTTGATACCACATCCAGCGGGAACACATGGAGCGGTTGCATTATTTCTTGTTTGTCTGAGTCTCTGATGTTTTTTTGATAGGAGTAGGATTATATAAAAAAATGTACAGGAAAAATGAACCTGTTCTCAATGGATTCATTACCTTAGTAATACTTTTACTAATGGATTTACGGTCTCAATTGCTAGTTTTAAAACGTCTTCACTACAGCATGATGTTTGGTTTGCTATCGTCCCATTCTGAGTGAAATAGAGCATAGAGCAGGATTGCATTAAGATTTCAGTTAAGAAACACTAAGAAGTCTGCTGTTCATTTTTTTTATAATCTTATCACTCACAGGTCGTTTTTTTTCCAGCTAAGTTAAGCATCCCAATTAACATTGAACAGTTGACGACCCATATGGATGAAGCTTGCTAACCAAGCTAGAGCTAGCTTTAGCAGCTAACTGTACGAATCTCTATCTTGCTCTTACCCAGCTCCACTCTATGGTCACTTTCTGGCCCAAATAACCAAATGGCGCTAACCAAAATGCTAAACTTGAGTCTCCACAAAACCTATGGTGGACGTCAGAGTGATGATGTCCACTTCTTTTAAACAGCCCAGTATAATATGATCATCATTAGCACACACATTTTTTGCTGGGGAAATAAGGCTTTAATGCATCGGCCACATTGTCCATGCTGTCTGTTTCTGTCCTTCATTTATTCTTCATTGTAAATCACAGGTTAGACACTAACTACGTCTGAATGCTGTTTGCTGAAAGCAGCTTCCTGCTGGAAATGAAGTTGATGAGAGCTGAGTTTTTTTTTTTTTCTGTCTTTTGAGTTGATTGAGGTTTGGGAAATGATTTGATGTTTTTTATATAAAAAATTTGGATAAGTGCAGCTTAGTGTACTATTTGTGACCTAACAAAATACACATTGATGTGTTCCAGATGGTTCTCAACGAGTTATAATAACCGGAGGCAACATGCACCACTAATGCCAAGGGACTTATTAGCCACATAGTCCACTTGGATTAGTGTCTGTGCCCTCCTTCTGTTTCTCTGGTTTTATTGTCTTTGTCATTATATCTTTGACATGCTGAGAATTATTACCATATTTAACATACTCATATTAAGTATACCCCGTCAAAGATGTACAATGATATACATGAGATGCTAAATAACTAGTGTGGAGTGCTGATTATGGATCCCAATGTTATCTATAATCAGTAACATTGTCTTCTTTATCAAATGTTTCTGCAGTTTCAGGTGCTTAAACCAACACATCATTTCACCACGGAAAGTAATCATCTTACTTTTCCTCAGAGATTTAACTCGTAAGCCTGGTCAACAAAACGTGCAAACCAATGAATTGGCCTTACTTACAAATGATCTGTGCATATCTAATGGAGATTCCAATGTACTATTTGAATATGGAAATGCTTATGTTGCAGAATGCAGAAACTCTGTTTTTTACAAACATCTTAACTTTTTCTGTACCTAAGTTAAAACTTAAGTTAAAGTGTTTTTTCTTACTTGAACATTTGAAAAGGTTGTACTTATGTTTCTGCAATCAACCATTTGTTTTCTTAATTGTTTGAATGTATAATATTTGTTTGTGAAATATCATTCTGTCTATGCTTGAATTTTATGTATATTAATTGTTTTTTATTGTACACAAGTCTGTCTTGAAAAATAGATATTTCTCAACTATCTGAAAGGATTAAACAAAAATACCAGAACTGCGTATATGGTTCGCTGAGAGTGTGTTGGATATAATGTAACCTGTTTCATTTTCTGAGTCAAACCTTTGTTTTTGCTGCCATTTATAATGATGTCCAACTGGGGCGGACTGGGACTAAAAATCAGCCCGGGACTCTCGACCGGCCCACCTCGGTACCGCAAGTAAATACCGCTAGTAAATTGTCGACGGGGGGGTGCTTGACTTATCCGACCGGCCCACATCGTCCGACCGGCCCTCTTCAGTACCGGCCCATCAGGAATCGTCCCGAACAGTGATGGCCAGTCCGCCACTGCATCCAAGGTCCCACAAGTAAAACAGGTTTATACATGAATCATCCAAGCAAGCAAACAAAGGGATAAAGGCTGCAGATGGCGCCTAATCTCTTTCAAATCTGACAAAAATCAAAACTGGGCTAAACATACTATTCCTCCTATGTTCCCCTTTTTGAGTCATTTCACACACAAATACAAGGTAACTATAAATAACACAAGGAGGTAAAAGGTATGATAGTGACAATACAATAAATAAATAATGATCCCTCTCGGTAAAATAAAGGAAGGCATAGGACAGACAGAATGAATAAATATAAAAGAATATTAAATCATTAAATAAACAAATAAATAAGAAAAATAATAAATCTTAAAATAACAGTTTATAAGGGGAAGTCACTAATAACACTATTAAATAAATATATATAAACACCAGTAAAATAAATACATAAAATAGTATAAAAATGAATAAGTAATGAAGATTAAAAGACAAATACAAATGGGATGTTGCTAATAACACTATTAAATACATATAAATAAAAACCTGTAAAATAAATAAACAAAAAATATAAAATTGAATAAATAATAATGATTAAAAGACCAATTTGAAGGGGATGTCGCTAATAAATAGCTGATATAAAAAAAAAATCTTTAGCTGCAGTTTAAAAATTTCAAATGTATTAACTGACACTTTATTTAGCCTATATTAATTTAGTATATTTTAGTATTTAGTATTTAATAATATCACAATCAGATCGCCTAGTGTGAAATAAATACCTTAAACATGTATATATGTTTAACAAGTGTTTGTTTAAGGGTTAAATGGGTGTTAAATAATGGCAGGATCTTCTTGTCATGATCTTGGCCGAAAAGGAATACTTCTGTTCTGACGTCATTGATTGCGCAAAGCCTTTTAACGAGGTACTTTAAAGAATATATTGGCATTTATTCTATGAATGTAGGCTATATTGTGAAATGTTTTGATATGAGGTACAATATTTTTTTTGAAAAAAATATTTGTGCATTTAACTAATAATTAATCTGAATTATGAAACTCCCTTTTTCTTTCTTTACTTTCTTTCTTTATTTTATGTAATTTTGTATTAATTGATATGCCCTGATGTGAACTTACAACATGATATTCATATATGTTCTCGAATGAATAAAAATATTAATATAATAATATTTCATCTGAAATATGAAACAGTATTTTTTATTTTTTTTTGTATGCAATTTTGTATTACTTTATATGTTTACCCCTGATATGAACTTTTATGTATACAAAATATATGATGATGATTTATTTTTTGGATATATGAACATCATGTTCATATATGTTCTTGAATAAAATAAATACATAATAATAATAATTTGAAAAAGCCTTTTAAGGTTACCGTAATTGCAAGAAAAGACGCATAAACATTACGGTTCTGAGTGATTCTACAGTGAAAACACGTCCCCATGCTCCAGGACTGAACCTCTCCTCGGTCCGCTCCGCTCTCCTGCTCTGCGGGGAGAGAGGACGAGTAGTCTGCGGGGGTCACTTCCTCTCACAGGAAGCTCAGCTCCGGACGTCATTTCTAAGAAGGTTATCAGGAAGAATGTTTTTCAGACAGAACCATAGACTGTAGAACTCATTCCTCATAGATCTTTCGATATTTTCTTCCGTAATGTAGTTTAAAAATATACACCCCGTCTTTTCAGACTTTGGCCTTTTTTCTTTTGTCTTGTGATCACTCCGCCGTGTTTCTGCCTCACAGTCATACGGGATGTGGTACAGAAGTGAATTAGAGGATGGATACGAATCTAATAAAACAGGTGAGACGCACATTCGATAAAAGTCTGACGGTACAGGATGACTTCTGACTTTATATAGACAGTCTATGTTTCTGACTCTATGTTTCTGACACGCAAGCTAGCTACATCCACTTACTGAGATTTAAAGGCCCATAGCTACAGTAGAGCAGCTAGCACGATGCTATCTGCCTCTGTGATGCTGTGCTACAAGAACACATTGAATAGTTACAGGACATGAGGGAGAAGGGTGTCTCGGTTTATGACTATTTTCCATTGGTGTTAAGTAACTAAGTAGATGTACTCAAGTACTGTACTCAAGTACAATTTTGAGATACTTGTACTTTACTTGAGTATTTCCATACTACTTTGTACTTCTACTCCAGTATAATTCAGAGGTAAATCATGTACTTTTACTCAGGGGCGGATCGAGACAAATATTCATGGGGTGGCAAGAGGGTGGCAGGAGAATTTCAGGGGTGGCATCCCCTGGCAGAAGTATATGCTGATTTAATCGCAGTCATATCAATCAATGTTAACTTGGAAAGCAACAATATTGATATTTTAACTCAATAACATTAGGTGACATTATTGTGGCACATCAGTAAAGCCTTAAATATAAATATATAAGGTGGCACACGTAATTTAATGAATTTTAACTGAATGAGTTGGTTTAACTCTTAGACCAGCAGGGGTACCAAATATGCAGACTGCTGCAATAAGTACATTAATTAACTGTCTCATCGATGTGTGTCTGTATGAATATGATAATATTAACAATCATATTATTCCTATCAGCTGTCAATCACTGTTATGATTCACATATTCAGTGTTATTATTAAATAAACTATATTTTTTGGAGGAGTTAATGATGAACGTTCCTCAAGATGCTTGCTCACCCTCCTTCAAATTTGAAAGACCAGTAATTACTATCATAATTCAAAAGAATCAAAGGTACAGTTCAGCGCCCCACAACTTCATTGCAAACAGTTACAACCTTGACTTTACATCAGA